CTGCGACAATATTCAGCAGTCACCATTAAGCTATAACTATTTCATTTTCACGATAGTCTTTGTTTGAAATACTGTTCTGTTCAAGACAGAATTGAGTCAATATAAGTAATTTTTAAACATCTTTATTACATCTTATTTTTTACCAAATGGAAGTATTATCTACAGCCTTTGGTTTTGTCAAATGATTTAAATTCATGGCTTATATTATAAACAAACCAGCTGGTCAAAGTGAAGCCGTAGATATTGCAGTCATGCCATGAGGCCCACTTACGTACAAAACAATACATGTCCAAAATGAAAACAAAGCACGGATTCATATAGTATGACAAACCTATGGAAACTGAGACTGCAGACCATCTGCAACGCAGGCACTACCAATTTGAGGTACAATATTCACGACGGAGAAGGAAGCCCATGTAATTATGACAGTCACTTCAAAGATGATGACTAAAACCTAAGGGGKAGAGGGTGAATGTATATTTTTATATTATATATAATTATGTGAAAAGATGTCAACCTACCTGGGAGCCATAAGTTCCACTGCTAAATATTTTGTATGGTTTCTTTTTTTTAGAAATATTGAAACTTCAACAATACTCTTTCTCTGCATTTTGGAGTCTAAGTTCAAGGTCTCTTTTTAACAATTACTGACAAATACCATTATTATGGATGAATACTATACGTCTTTTGAAAACAACAAYGAAGGACTTTTTTCRCTTTCTTCTCTTGTGTCTGGAGTATGTTCTGTGTCATCTACTCATGACACAGGAAACCCAAKCAACCAACCCTTTGAACAACACAACAAGTCCAGCTTGATTGACAYTRGTGAYATTAAAACAGAGAATGACACAAGTAGCTGTGATTTAATCGATCAACAGCAAAACAACGGCAGTTTACTAGAAAGTGTTGCTGYGCAAAGCARCCWAWCAGTGACAAGTGATTCATCAGCTTTGGAACAASAACTTGATGGCCAGATTGGTCAGGAGGGAATGCATAGCTTTGAAGGTTTGATTGATATCAACAACATTAAAAAAGAATCTATCAATAATTTTGCAGATAACTGCCAACCAACTGGTGATTCTGAATGTGATTCTACGCAGAACATACAAGCATCTACCAGTGACTTGAAGGACTCTGAGTGTGTCCTTTGCGTGCAGTGCAACAAATGGTTTGATTGTATGAATGACTTAAAGAAGCATAATCAAATAGTACACAAAGGAAAAAGACCTTTTGAATGTCAGGACTGTGGCCAAACATTTGTGAAAAATTCAGGTTTAAGCAGCCACAAAAGATGGCATCAAAAGGGGAAATCTTGCCAAAAATTAACWTGTGTTAAGTGTGATAAATGGTTTGATTGTTTGAGTGACTTAAAGAAGCACAATCAAGTAGCACACAAAGAAAAAAGTCGACCTTTCCAGTGTCAGGAATGTGACCATACATTTATAAGAAAATCTGGTTTAAGCATCCATCAAAAGTGGCACCAAAATATGAAATCTCTCCAAAGAATACCTTATATCCCTKCCCATGTGAGAAGAAAACGTACTAGTCAAATGAATAGAAAAAAACATGCTGTCAAAAATCCAATTATGAAAMCTTTTTTTAAATGCCAAGTTTGTGGAAAACTATTTTTCAATAAAACTGTTTTGAAGATCCATGAAAAGACACATCCAGCTGAGAATTCTCAACCAAGACTTATAACTGACGCAGCATCTAAAAAAGGAGTTCCTCATGCCAACCCCAAGAACCAGTTATTTCTTTGTGGAGATTGTAACACTTGGTTTTCTGGTAGAAAGACTCTACATGTTCACAATAAGTCAATTCACGCTGGAGTAAAACGTCATGAACAAAATTTTAAGCTGAAAAAAATTACTGGATCTTTCATTCGTGTTCAAAACAGAAACCTAGGGAAACTGCTACAAATGGAAAACAAGAGATATGAAAAACATAAATTTTTGTACAAAGAGAAAATCACCTCAATTATTGTAAGTGCAGGTGATCCTGATAAGAGAAATTTSAAGAAGCATGCGTTCTTTTTATGCAGGCAATGTAAAAAATGGTTTTGTAGTCGAAARAATCTAGAAAATCATAGTGAAAGAATGCACAAAGGTGGACGAAATGTGAAGACCATTCAAAGTGTTCATGGGAAAACACTTTCTGGAAGTATAATGGTTGATAAATACACCAACACAGAGCATCAATGTAAACAT